CTCGTCGTCTCCGAAATAATCGGTCTTTTTCTGGAATTCTCTGGTATTTCCGTTAGATCTAGATCAGATCTAGATCTTAGATCTGGTTGTGTGCGATCTGAATTTGATGGTTGTGGTCGAGTTAGTGTGCGGTTCTGATTTGGTGTGCGATCGTAGTGTAGTGGTGTCCGGAAGTGTGCGGAAATTTTTGCGTTAAATCGTGCGTTGCGTTTTGGTTGGTCTTGTGATTTGTGGTTTCGTCTTGACGGAATATCGGCAGGGTTAAGTTTCCCTTGCACGTAATGGAAGGATAATTTGCTCGTCTTGATTGTCTGCATCAGTACCTTAATCTTGCGTGCGTAAAACATGGTTTCGGTATCCGGGTTTATTTTAATTGGCGAAGCCAAGGACTTAGCAAGTAGTGCATTATCGGTAAACACTTGTAGTTCGGCAGCTGTGGTCTTAACGTAGTCTTTGATCTGGGATAGGTATCGTTTGGTTAGTATATATGCTCCTTGAGCTTCATTAGAGTTAGCATAATTGTGGACCGCGGGAAGCGGAATTGAGTTAGTCATTAGCGTATTATCGGCTTGCTTTAGAACTAGCCCTGCGGCTTGATTTGAGGTGTCTAGGTACAGTCTTAACGGTTTGCCCGAGGCGGTAGTAAAGGTCTTTGTCGGTTTCGCCGCTAGGGCTTTGGAGTATATAGTCAGTATGTCGGTATCCTTCACCTTGTTGGTGAGTAGTTTACGTATAGTCAGCAGCTGGTTGTCGGTCAGTGTGTGCTTGTAGTAAGCGAGCGTTTGTGCCGCTCGTTTGATCAGCGGTAGGTTGTTTGACTTAAGCATTTGGTCTATGCGGTCCCATTTCGGTTGAGGGATTGATAGTTGGTGGTTATGCAAAGTATAACCCAGTAGTTCTGTACACTTGAGTTGCGATTTGGTATGATTGATTTGAAAGTGGCAGTTGTTGAGGTATTTGATAGCCTGTTCGTATCGGTATTTGAGTTGTCGTTGGTCGGTGGCGGAGATGAATATGTCATCTTGGTAGTAGCGT